TCTATTGTAACTAATAGAAATTTACAAGAATGTAAACTAGCATTAAGTAATAAAAATAATATAAGATATGTGGAATATTTAAAGCAGTATATTACTGTAAATATTAGGAAAATAATTGATTGTCATAATAATAATGTATTTTTACCGAATGTAGGCTTAATTAATATTAGCAAAGAGGATTGTCTTCCACAATTTGATAAAATTTATACTCATAACCTTAACACTATTTTACAACAATTTTATGATACTGTAATATTCAATACTACAATGGTAGAATCAAATAATAATACTGTACCAGAACTAGAGATATTATCATTTGTAGACAACATTAACATTTATCATTATCTTTATATATAATACGACAACTTTTCGCCGCAAAGATCCCTTTTCCGCCTCTCAGGAGCGATCGGTTTTGATGAATAAAGGATCAAACGAAAGGGTATTAAATGGAGCAGTGACGAATCATGGTGATATCCACCCGAAATTTCAGGAGAAAAAGTTATGAATGAAAAGAAACTTTATTTGCGAATTACTTAAAAAGTATGCATTTTTTTTTCTTGATTAGACCCGTTATTATTTGAAAATTTACTAAATTCCCTACAAAACGAAAAAAAATAAAATCAGGAAAATTGGACCATTATTTACAAAAATACAGCCCATTGTAATTTATGTATTATTGCTTCTAATATTTTGTTCATATATTAATTATCATTTTTACGTGTAAGGTTTTTCAAAACTACTTTCATAATTTCTGATTTTTATGTTTTTAACTCCGACAATTTTTAAGATTGATTAATTGCCTTTTAAAGCCCTAAAATGTACAGTATTCAGTTACCGTTTGAGTCTAAAATTACATCTGCGATAGGAAATTTTGATGCCACTGTTGTCATGGATTCCGATTCATATAAAAAGTACAAAATCCAGCTCTCTATAGTTAAATATGTTACATAGGAACTTAAAATGAGAACTCGCAATGGTATTGTAAACTATAAACAAACGCGAAGATTAAGATAGGAAAAAAAATATACAAATTGAGGACTGTAAAAAAATGAAATACATTAAAAATGTTCACAACCTTGTATATAGAAAAAAAAAATGGATAAAAACAACAAACAACATCTTGTTTTTCATGCATCACAGTGCTATGCCAAAAGTGATACTGAATCTTCCCAATTCATAAATAATAAACAATAAATAAAATAAAATTTGGTATATAGAAATAAAATATAAATAAATTATCCTTTAATACATAATTAACTGCGTCTGATTAGATTGTGAAGAGGAATTGGAATAAGAGGGTTTTGAATGTGGATAAAGATGGTGCATGGCGGATTTTAAGTGGGATGGAATTCCAAAAGCTGGTGGAGCGGACAATAAAGGAATGTTGAAATGAAGCAGATATATTAAATGGGATGTAAAGGTCAGAAGGGCGAGAATTTGTGGAGAGGGAGTGGATAGATGATTTAAATTGGAGGATATTGTATACATAGGGCGATTATTGTTGATTATTTGGAAAAGGATTGGGCCAAGGAAGTATTGTCTTCTGAAGAAGGGGAAGAGCCACCTTAACTGGGCATAGTAGTGGGAAACACGGGAACGTCATGGGTTCCCTTCGACAAATCTTTTACTAAGCTATTCATAATTCTGTTTAGTCCGTCCCTGAGTTCCACCGAGTGGCTACCGTACACCACGCAGATGGCGGAATAGCGATGGAATAGTTTAACGGTACAAATTGACCGTCGAGAGATATGGGCAATTCCAGGAGGGGGTTTGGTGAATGAAAATGCCTAGGTTTTTAACTGAGGAGCTGAAGGTGATAGGATGGTTATTTAGGTACAGAATAGGAATGTTGGTATTGGATTTAAGGAGGGGTTTTGAACCGTTGAACTGAGTTTTTTCGGCGTTTAATCTTAATCCATTTATGTATACCCAGGCGCTGATGCGATTTAGACCTTCTTGGATTTTAACAAACGCATCATACAACTCAGAGGGAGGGAAGGAAAGGTAAATTTTGGAATCAGCAGTATAGAGGTGATGGGAACGGTGGAGGATTGATTTATGGAGGTCGTTGATATAGGAACTAAAAAGAAGAGGAGATATGATAGAGCCCTGGGCCACTCCTGAGGATAGAGTAACATAGGAAAACAAGGGTTGATTAGGGATAGCGACAGCTTAAGAACGTTGCGATAGGAAAGACTGAAACCAAAGGATAGCGGTGTTGGAAAAGAATAATGTTTTTAATTTGGAAAAGAGGATGGAATCGTTAATGATATCGAAGGCTTTGAAAAAGTCAAGGAGTACAAGGACAGTTAGTTTTTTATCATCTATAGCGGACCGAATATCATTAATGATTTTAATCACGGTCGATTTTGTGGAGTAACCTGGTCTAAAACCAGATTGGAAAGGGTCGAGTTGATTGAAATGTTCACAGAAATTGGAAACTTGGGATTGCACTATTCTTTCTAGGGGTTTTGAAAGGTTGGAAAGGATTGAAATTGGACGGAAATCTTTGGAGGAAGAAGGGTTAGAATTTTTATTTAAAGGACGTAAGGTTTTCTTCCTTGAGGTAGGAAATACTGAGTTTTGAAGGGAGAAATTATAGAAGAAAAGGAGAACAGGAAGATTTCGGGAAGGCATAGTTTGAATAATTTGGCCGGAATGCTATCTGGAAAAATAGAATTGGAATGAGATATCATCACGGCGGATTTGAGGTCTGTGGGCAAGATGTATGGAAAGTAAAAATCGTTGTCGTTGAAGGATGTACTAGGATAAGAGAAGGAAGCAGTAAAAGGAGGAGTGGAAGCGCAAGCAGATATAAAATATGAGTTTAAATCATTTGGTGAAACTGGAAATACTGCTGAGAGAGAGGATATGGAAGATTCACAGAGGGAGAGTTTACGAAAGAGTAGCCATTTGGATTTGGAATCGGGAGCTGATGAAAGGGCTTCATGGAAGTAGGTTGATTTGGGTCGTCGGATTGGGGTTTGTGTCAGGTTGCGGAGCGCCCTAAACGCTTGATAGTCGTCGGCCAGCCTAATACGTCTAAAGCGTCCACGAGCAGCATAGCATTACGTTACTGGATAGTGAGCAGGTTTTGGAGCTTATGACAGAGACTTTTCTGAGGATTGTCCATTTGGTTTAGGATTAGGTGATTGGGATAGTACATTGCTAAAGCATTGCGCTTTGGCCTGACGTAAGGATATTTATGTGCTGTTTTGTAGGGATTTGAAAGCAGCCTCTCTAATTTCTGAATTTATCCAAGGAGCTAGAGGACGTCTAAAAGTACGGGTTTTAAGGGGAGCGTGATGGTTAAGGAAATCAAGAAGTTTAGAGGATAGGTGTTCCACCATGGCATCGATGGAGGAAAGGGAGTAAATGGGTTCTAAGAAAACTGATAAGGAATCGAGATAAGGTCTGATGTTTTCAATGTTTTGAGAAAAAATATTTTAAATATGAAATAACCAAAGTATGTTGTATTTCAATTGAAAAAGAATATGATACAAATTCAAAATGCATACTTCTCATAAAATAGTTGAAAAATGAGTAGTTGTTTAGAGGGTTGTTTTTATCGTTGGGAACCGCTAAAATAAAAAAAAAAAAATATGATTATCTTGTAATTAAACATTCCTGTTTTATCTCATTACGTTGGATTTGAAAAATTTCAACATTAATTTTTTCCACCTACTTGGTCATTCGTCCCACTATCGTTCCCGCCACTTGTTAGAAATAAAAAAAAAAAATACAAAATGTATTAAAATAGTTAATTTTAGCCTATAAATAAAGCAACTGTACTAGATAAACTCATAGGTGCAGACTTCGGCGAGAAGGGAGGATTGCTCCCTACCCCCCCTCCACAATATTTTGAAGACCAAAAATAAAATCGAAATCAATAACAATTAATCTACAACTAAAATCTATTAAAAAATAGTTTAAATAGACTAGAAGACTAAGCTAAGAAGAAGGCAAGCAAGTATTTTACCATGCCCTATGTTTCTATTAATAAACTTTTAGATAATATTCAAAGATAATTATATGTAACAACATATATCCTAGGATTTATGTTATAGGATGAATGATTCATTCATAAACACCCTTACATTTTACTTGACTTTATTACATTTTCCGCGGCAAGTTTGAAATATCAGAGAATTCATCTCATTGCCTTAACATATATACACACATTTATTTTATACCTATAGTAATATATTGTTCATTTTACAATAATTAAGTTGATTATAGCCCATATTGCTTATTATTAAACTTAAAATTAGAATTTTATTAAACTCCCTACTTTTTTTTCGGGGATGGGAGGAAGTCCACTCCCTTCTCCTCAATTAAAATGAAAAGTCTGCGCCTGTGATGGGACTCCCAACTAATTCAGTACTTCTTCAAATTAAATCTCACTGTATTGGAGCACAAAACTCCATTTTACTCTGTGGCCTTATTTCCAACTCCAAGAGATACTTATCACTAGATACAAGATATTACTTTTATTCCATTAAATAAAATCTTGCCTTTCAACAGCATACTGCCAATCCTATTATTATCATTGTAAAATATTATTTTTATTTATAAGGTATAACCATTCAAATTCATCTTATTTACTAATGCTGAATGATAATTCATCCCACATTTATCGAGTTAATTCTTTACACCACTTCTATTATTAGCCTAGTACTTTTGTATAAATTTCCTTGGAATATGTATTTTGTCAAATAAATGTAATTTAAGTTTATTTTTTAACTAGCCTCTAATCTAGTCACAAGACTAAATCACTTTTACAGATGAATTAAGGCGAAGGTAAACCCCAAATTGCAAGGGACCTACAGCCATATTATAATTCCCTTCATATATCACCACTCTAAAGTCTTATGTTTCATTCAAGTGGTGGCTATATAACTTATCAGATAGCAGAGTTCAAAATCAAAATGTGAAGGATATAAGTCCCTCCTTACAGATTATATATATCCCAGGATATCATTAACAAAAATGCAGGGAATAAAAAACTATCATTGTATTTATTATTTAAACAATTTAATCACAGCTTTAAAAAATCACATAATAAATAGGTATACCTAAAAAACATCATGTTACAACAGCATAAAATCTTTATTAATTACAAATATCATAAAAATACATAAGATTATAGGAAAGAGGTGAATATTTGTATAGAGCATTCATCAAATTAGTTTAACACATACTTCTACGAGTAACCCGTCCTTCTTGTTCTAGTTGGAGTGCAAAATGGCATTAAACGGCGAATAAACAAAATTTGATGGAGAAATCTGATTATTTCTCAGAAAGTGGCCCATTAGCTGTAGTTCTTAGTAATTAAATAAATTATTTAATTACTAAGAACTATTTGTATAATTGGTCCAAAGGAATCAGAGAGATAGCTGACATTATTAACATTGAAGCAAAAAAGAATAACAATTTACTTTGAGTCATGGATTAATCTTGATAATGAAAGTACATACATATTTAACTTATGTCATGTATATTTCATTTGATTTTTTCACTATTTTCTGTATTCTGCATAAATAAACACCAATGGTTTTTTTTTAAAACATGGTTTATTTTTCTCGATAATCCTTATATTTTTTTATTTTACAAACCTTCATTGACATAAAGTTTTCGTAAAAAATCTAAATATCAATGCTCTACTGTACACTAAAATGCTTGGAGAACTCATTCATAACATTAGCACTAAAATTTATTTGGGAAATAGATACTTTCTATTAATCTTATGGAGTTATATCATAAACATAGCTTAAATTAGGAAATATAACTTGTATATAAAGTAACTTTAAAGTAAAATAAATTTGTAAAACTGACTGAATACAAAGCATAAATCTTAAATTAACATCAATGGACAATTGAATTAAAATTCAAAATAACAAAACAAATATAAAATAATTATTTTACCAAAAGAAAAACATAAATTAAGTTGTTTGTACTAATGAAAAAAATACATAAATATTAAAACATTAAAAACAATATGTAAAACTATTATAGCTCCACCAACAGTATAATTTTCTTTGCTAACCATGGGCTGCATTGTAGAAATCAAAACAATTCCAGATGAAATTAATCCCGCAAGCAGTAAAACCCATTGCAAATATGGAATATGTACTATCCAAAAAATAGACAAAGGAATGTACACAACTAATGCATAACTGTAAGTGCAGATAAGCTCCAAAGCTGAAATACACATCTGAAAAAAATAAATAAATAAACATTTAAATTTATAAAAAGACGTGCAATCTGCAAATTAGTAATATTAGTAATATTTATGAAAATATTACTCTAAGACTCTAGGATGGTATACAGAATAGTAACTTTAACTCCCCTTAAACATTCCTTCAAAAGGAATTCTTTTATGAACATATAAGGGTTTTCTTTTAACCAATTTGATAGAAAATTCATTAGTTTTTCTTCCTTTTAATATTGGCAGAAAATTGCATTACAGAATTGAGTAAGGAAAGAGGGTAATGGGACTATTGCAATTTAAAACAGCATTATTTTTTTTATAGTTAAATATTACAATAAGTGACTCAAATAAAAAAAAGTTGAGTGCAAATGAAATAAATTTCCTTACAACACAAATTTTAGAAAGAGTGGCAGTTCAGGAAAATAAGCAGACAGATGACACTACAAACTCAAACAAAAGGGCCACTGAAAAATATATTTACAAATTTAATTCCAATGGAGAACACAGCCATGGATGTATTTTGACTCCTATTATTTATAATATGATTCATGCATTGATGTTGAGTTTATTGTACATAACAGATAATTGGATATCTATATAACAATGAGCATAATGGACAATTTGTTATTATTTATGGATGATATTTATAATATTTTTTATAGTACTTTCAATACTTTAAAATCATATATACATCAAATATGTCACACAACTTAGGATCAATTTACAGTCTATGATCTATCTTACTACTCAAGGTAAGTAAGATATATACAAAAAAGGTAAGTAAACAATAATTTACAAATGTGGGATTTATACTTGAGTGGTAAACTCTCAAACGCGGAGCCTGGCCGCTAGGGAGCACGTCCCTCGGGTGGCGGATGGGGGATCCCTCTTAGGAGAGATGGTATGAATAAATCGAATAAAGACCTGTGGACCAACAGGTAACCTAGTGCTGGGGGTATAGCCCGGCCACCCTTTCTCCTGAGGGGACATAAATATTCAGGAGGCCAGTTGTCCCAAGGATACGGGGTCTCTCCTACTGGGCTAATCACCCATAGGAGAGAATCATCGATTCAGAGAAAATTAGCAACAAGTCTCGGAATTGGACAGTCTAAAAGGAAAAGACACTGCATGGATAAGGACATACGTTTGGGAACATGGAACGTGAGATCACTCACTGGCAAGGAGGGGGAGATCATTGAGGAAATGACGTATAGGATGGACAACCTGGGATTAAGTGAAGTAAAAATGAAAGGAGTTGGAGAAATAGAAATGAACAAAGGACACATGCTGATATACTCTGGAGTCCTACCAGGAAAACCGAGCTGTAGAAGGAGTAGGTTTTACATTGAAGGATGAATAATACAGGAAAGTTGTGGAATGGGAAGCAGTAAGTCCACGCACAATTGCAGCACATATAAATCTAAGGATTGTGAATCGGGCTTTAATACAAGTTTATGCTCCGATAAATGATACTAACATCCTAGATAAAGAGTTGTTTTATAGCGACCTTGAACGAACAATCACCAAAGCTAGAAACTGCAATAGAAGCATAGTGATCATGGGAGACTTCAATGCAAGGACAGGCAAGGATCACCTAAGAGCACATGGAGTGATGGGACCGCACGGTGGAGAACACATTAAAAATAAAAGTAGGATACGCCTTATTGATTTCTGCATTGAAAATGATTTACTACTGGGGAATTCATTCTTCCCGCATGAGCTGGTCCATAAAATTACCTTTTCAGCCGCTGAGAGAAATGTCAATAGTGTCATAGACTATTTGATCTATAGCCGCGACATTAAAAGATATTTCTCAGATGTAAAAATAATCAGAGGTGCAGAAATAGGAAGTGATCATATGCTCCTGGTTGCTGATACCCGAGTGCTCAAGGAAAGAAAGCAGAAGATGAAAGCATACTCAAGAATTGAAGTAGAGAAGTTGCAGGACCCTCAAAAGAGAGATGAGTAGGAAGCAGAGTTAAGAAATTGGCTCCATGAATTAGACGCAAATGCAAGCCTGGACAATCTATGGATTCAAATAAAGGATAGCATTCTGAAAGAAGCTACTGTAGTGTGTGGAGTGAAAATGATTTGCAAGAAAGGTAAACGTACATCATGGTGGAACTAAGAACTGAAAGTGCAAGTCTTGCAAAAGAAAACAGCGTGGAAGGGATACTGTCGGGACAAAACTGCAGAAAAATTGCAAGCATACGTGTTGGCCCGAAACAAGACAAAAAAAGCAGTAAGAGTGGCATAACAAAAATCGTGGGAAGAATTTGGAAGAAAGTTAGATCAGGATCATTGGGAAAACATCAGGATTTTCTGGAAAAAAATTAAAGCTCTAAGAGGACGTAAGAGCAAAGCAGTGAGAAATATGAAGAGTGAAGAAGGAAAAGTGGTCACGGAAGACAGAGCAATCTTAGAGGTCTGGAAACATCATTACATGAAGCAGTTTGGTAGAGATGATTACTATTCAACAAATGGAAATGGAAACTAGAGTGAAGAAGAGTACGACGAGGTGATTGAGGAAGAAGTAGAGAGAGCCATATACAAAATGAAAACTGGAAAAGCGCCAGGTCGGGATGGTGTAGTAGCTGAATTAATAAAGAATTGTGGTCCTGAGCTGGTGCGAGCATTGCAAGTCCTTTTCCAGAAAGCCTGGGACGAAAAAGGGATTCCGGGAATATAATATTATAATACCAATTCACAAGAAAGGATGTCAGGCAGAATGCTCTAACTACAGACCCATATGCATCTCGCCAATTGCGTACAAACTATATACATCCATCCAGCTTAAGACCACTAGTTGAGCACCTAATAGGAGAAGAGCAAGCTGGGTTCAGACCCAGGCGCCAAACCCATGACCATATTTTCTCACTAAGAAATATCCTACAGAAATCCTGGGACCTTGATAAAAATATGTACCTGGCTTTCCTTGACCTCAAATCTGCCTTTGACTCGGTTCCACAAGATGAAATATGGGAAGCTCTCAGATTGAAGAATGTTCCGAGAAATCTGACAGAGGCGATAAAATCTATATATCAAGAGCCCAAAGGAATAGTCAGGCTGAACGGGCTAGAATCGGATTGTTTCAATATTGCAAGGGGGTGAAACAAGGAGATAGCCTAAGCCCATTGTTGTTCTTGTTATTCATGGATGAAGTGGCATCCATCTGTAAGAGAAGAACGGCCAGGACATTCCTGGGACATAGGAATCTTAATCCTGTAGTGATAAAACTTCTCCTCTACACTGATAATGTGATATTGATTACGGACTCGGTGAAAAAGTTGCAATTGGCAGTTATAGAATGGTATGAAGAACTCCAACGAAAAGGGATGCTTATAAATACCAACAAAGGTAAGATTCTACAAGTCGGAAGAAAGAAGGAAGATCCACATAAACTGTAATGGAGAAGAATTAGAAGTGGTGACAGACTTCACATACCTGGGTACAGTGTTGGACAGATCTGGGAAGGTAGACGCGGAAATATCCAACAGGATTAATAAGGCAAATACAGTTTACTACCAGATATGTAACACTGTGGTAGGGAAGAGAGAAGTAGGCAGACGTCAAGCTATACATCTTCAAGATGGTGTATCTACTTATACTTTTGTATGGAGCTGAGAGCTGGATACTAACAGACCGACAGGAGAGTAGAATCACCGCTGCGAAGGACAGTTGGGAAAACAAGGAGACCAAGTACGCAATGAAAGTAATCGTCAGGAACTGCAGATAGCCCCACTGAAAGAGCTCCTAGAAACTCGTCAGCTAAAATGGTTTGGCCATGTTATCAGGATGGACGACCACAGAGATCCTCTAAAGACCATGGAATATGTCCCAGATGGCAGAAGACCTAAAGGCCGCCCCAGAATGTCCTATCTTGACTACATTGAGCGACTCTGTAGGGCGAGGGAGAAGGACCTTCGACAGGCGAGGAACCTAGCTAGAAATAGGGAAGAATGGAATTCCTGGTTGAATGCTCCTCTACGCTGAAAGGCACTAAAGAGGAAAGCTAAAGAAGAAGAAGAAGGTAAACTTGAAAAATTCACTATTCAAAAATTTTAATGGATGGATAAATGGAAGAGATAGAGGACCTGAGGGCAAAATAGACCTACCCAAGCACACTAACACTGTTCATACATGCTTCGGGATAGTTTCTAAAGCAAGAACTATTTTATTTAATATTTCATATAATTTTTTTGGTAGTTCGTTTTATAATGAGAGAATAATAAAAATGCTTGCCACTCAGAAGAAGAATGACCTTTCTTGAGGCAGTGTGTTTTATCAAAAGTGGTAACTACAACTAAGCAAGCAGATTTGAAATAAAAGTCTTCCGCACCATAACAGGACCTATCTGGAATTAGAACATTAACACATGGGGGAGAAAGAACAATAAAAAACTGCTAAAATAAACTGGTTAGTCACTATCTCATGATATGAAGGCAAGGAGGTTAAGATGGGTGGAGCATGTAGCTCGAAGCAATCTATCAGGACGCCTTTACACAATAATGACTGCCAGAATAGTAAGCAAGAGAACACCTGGGAGGCCAAAAACCAGATAGATAGATAGGATCAACAAAGTTCCATAAGAGCTTCATGCCACAAACTTGAAAGCAGTAGCCCAAGATAGGAGGAGGTAGAGAAGGCTTGTTGAGGGGGCCAAAGATCTACGAGGTCTGCAGAGCCAACCAAAATATATATTGTAATGTACACCTTTATTATAAGTGAGTAAAAAGAATTAAATAAATTAATGTTGAACAATTTAACGGCAAGCTAATATAGTTTTAATAGTGTAGGGAAAAGAAAATGGCTGCTCTGTAGTTTCTCCAAAAAGGAAAATCCCAAAAAGGGGATGGAACAAAGGATTTGTTTTGGCAAACAGTTCTTGTATGGCTGCAGTGAAGGGAGGATAGGAGAAGTGATCCTGGCTCCAGTGGGAAAAAACCCAGTAATAGTATTACCACCTTGGAAGTTGTTTGGCAGAGAGACTAGTTGTTTGGAAG